CACACATATATATGTTTTACCACTGAGTTATATATATCTCAAGTCCTTTTTATTTTTTATTTTGAGATAGGGTCTTCCTAAGTTGCTGAGACTAGCCTTGAATTTGTAATTTTCCTGCTTCAGTCTCCAGAGTTGCTGGGATTACAGACATGCATCTCTACCACATCTGGCAAAGTACTTTATTTTTATGATTTTCTTAAGGACCTTCATTTTTTTCTAGATTTTTTTTTTCTAAAAGCAAGTAGACAAACCAGATGCTAGTGAGCTATTAGTAACCATGATTGTTTAACTATAAATTATGTGTATTAATTTGGTTTATTTACTCAAATATATTAGTAAATGGCTGGATACATTATCCTATATTTACTACAATCTTCATGATAATTCAGAACAATCTGAACAGTAAAATAATGTAGATATTTCCTTAAATGAAACCCAGTTTTGAAGAATTCATAAAGCAGCTTTTGTTACATCCTTGGATTTTTTTGTATTTACTAATTTTTTTTATTTTTAAACTGGTCAGAAAATTGTTCACATTTATGAGGTGTGATGTAATGTTTTAATACATGTATACATTTTGTAATGTTTAAATCAGATTAAACATATCTATCTCTTCAAACATTCATAATTTCTTTATGGTGAAGGTTTTGGAAATCTTTCCTTTTTTTGTACCATGGTACCCAGGGGCACTTAACGAGTAAGCCACATCCCCAACCATTTTTGTTTTTTATTTTGAGACAGGGTCTCACTAAATTGCTGAGGCTGGCTTTGAACTTGTGATCCTCCTGCCTTAGCCTCCAAGGCTGCTGGGATTATAGGTATGTACCACCACACCTGGCTCTTCCAGCTTTTTGAAATATATACTGCATTATTGTTGTCTACAGTCACACTCCTGAGTTATAGCACACCAGAACTTCTTGAGTCTTATCTAACTGTAACTTAGTACCCATTGGTCAACACTTCCTCAATGCCAATCCTCCCACTGCCCACAGACTCTGGTAACCACCACCCTACTCTACACTTCTGTGAGATCAATTTTTAGATTCCATACATGAGTGAGATCAAGTAGTACTTGTCTTTTGGTGTCTGCCTTATTTCACTTAACATAATGACCTCCAGTTCCATATTATTGCAAGTTACAATATTTCATTCTTTTTATGGCTGAATAGTATTCCATGGTGTATACTCTTTATTCATTTGTCAGTTGATGGATACTTAGATTGTTTACATTTCTGGGTTATTGTGTATAGAGTTGCACTAAACATGGAAGTGTGGATGCCTTCAACATACTGAATTCATTTCCTTTGATAAATACCCAGGAATGGGACTGATGGATTAGATGGTAATCCTATTTAAACATTTATTTATTTATTTATTTATTGTGCTGAGGAAGAACCCAGGGCCTCGTGCATGCTAGGCAAACACTACACCACTGAGCCACACCCCCAGTCCCCATTTGAACATTTTTTCAGGAATCTTCATAGGTTTTCCCTAATGGATGCACAAATTTACATTCCTACCAATCATGTGCAAGAATTCCCTTTTCTCCACATCCTTGCCAGCACTTGTTTTTAGTCATTTTTTGACCTTTTGCTTCTTTTAAGAAAATTCGTTCGAATTAGTTATACATGCCAGTAGAACGCACTTTGGTACATCATACATAGATGGAGTATATTTTCTTTATTTTTTAAATTTTTTTTTATTTTATTTACTTTTTTTTTTTTTTACAATTTCTCATTCTTGATAATAGCCACTCTTACGAGGATGAGGCAATTACCAAGGTGGTTTTGATTTGTACTTACCTGATGATTAATGTTATTAAATATTTTTTCGTAAAACCCTTGGCCATCTGTATGTCTTCCTTAAGAAATGTCTATTCAGATCCATTTCCCCTTTTTGAATGGGTTTTCCAGTAATCTGAACCATACTCTACTTTGTCCTTAATAAAGTGACTACGTGGGGCTGGGGTTGTGACTCAGCAGTAGAGCGCTCGCCTAGTATGTATATGCAAGGTGCTGGGTTCCATCCTTAGCACCACATAAAAATAAATAAATAATAAAAGAAAGGTATTGTGTCCAACTATAACTAAAAAAATATTAAAAAAAAAAGAAAAATAAGTACATATTCCTCACACCCTTCCAAAAAGAATGTCAGGGAGCTTACAATAAAAGGCAGTAAAATCTTTTATGATGGTAGAAAATAGGAACTGAGTGATGAGCGTGTATTTAGTAGGGGGGGGTGCAGTGGGTGTGCTAACACACACATACACACAAATTCAGACTAATGGAGGTTCTAGCCTAAAACATAAAACAGCTTCAGTTTCTGGAAATCAAGACAAAAAGAGAAACACAAGGGGTGTTTTCTATTAATGAGCAAACCCAGCTCTGGGAAGAAGAGTCTGAGGCTCTGAGAGAAGCTGCCCTGGATTCTCTTGAGCCCAATCAGCCTGGGGTCCTGTCGGTGGTGGCTCTCTCTGGCCTCGCCAATGCGCCCTCCTTGTGAAGCTGCTTAAGGGCAGGACAGTCAGTCATTCAGTGATTCACTGTCCCCTGCATTTACCTGTCAGATGCTGGAGACTTGGGGTGGTAACCCTTAGCCAGAGGGGTTAAAGTAGGCTTTCTGTAGAAGCTACTTGAACTTGACTTGAAGGACAAAGAGAAATGACCTTGGAGTAAGAAGTCTAGGCAAAGGAGGAGATATTCTCGGCAGGGGAGGACCTAAGAGAGAGGACTCAGAGGTAACAGGACCCTGGACACCCACAGTGAGGTTGAATGTGAGGGACATGGGCTAGGGAGTGGGGGTGAGAGCCGCTGCAGGCTGCGGCCATGAGAGAGAGAAGGTGGCCCAGCTCTGAGATGTACTGAGAAGACGGAAGGGGACTTGGTGTGGGGAAGGGAAGGGTCACAGGGGATACTGGAGTCCGCACAGGGGAGCAGGTGGCTGGTGTCTCCTCCCTGAGGTGGTGAAGCCGGAGCAGAGAAGAGGGGAGGAGATGCTGAGTTTGGTGAAGCAGTGTCTAATCTCTGGGACCCCGAGGAAAGGACTGGGCTTGAGGCAGAGAGAGAGGTATCCTCAGTGTCACTGGAGTAGCTGAAGCCACAGGAGTGGGAGAGGAGAGGGCCAAGGGTGGATTCATTTAAGAGGCAAGTGGGGGGTCTCATAAAGAAGGCAAAGAACTGGAGGTCAGATGTGGGCCCTGAACTGAGCCAGAAATACCCAGGGCGGAAGGGAAGTGACACAGAGTGAGGGTCAAGAAAGATAAAGACGTTGTTTAAAGAGAAAACAATCTTATACTAGGATTGTGACCACAGAACCACTAATTCAAATAATATGAACCTTTAAAGCATTGTCTTTTAAGCAGCCCCAGATATTTAGGGAAACGAAATACTAAGATATCTATAATCAATCTACCACACTTAAAAATAGAGTAGTCCTTAAGCAGGGAATGTTTCATCTGACTTGCAAATTTTGCACCTATTTTGCCAAAGTCCTGATGGTTTCTCTTATCCATGTTCATACTCTCGCCCTCATTCTGTTGATGCGGAGATCATTAAGAGACACCTGTAGCTTGTATCTTCTATTCCAGACACAAATACAAAGGAATGTGGAAGGGGATGAGGGCATACGAGTGTTCCAATGACTCTTTTCTTTTTTGCTAAATAAGTAGACAGCATTTACTGAGTACAGAAAAGGAAGAGAGGAAGAAGTTAAGTAAGGAACTAAGAAGGTTAAAGACTACAGAGTGTCTGCTGGTAGGACCTGAAGGAAACCATTGGTAAATTTGGCCTTTGGGTGAGATGAAGGCGAGGCAGAGGGGATGGGGTTAATGCCTCTTTAGTTGCTGGCAGCCAGGTGCGGGGAGAGGGGATACTGGGGACTGTGCAGTGTGAGTTTATTTTGGGTGAAATGGAAATGATGGGGAGGAAGGTGGTGTAGATAAGTGAGTGCGTCTGCAGTTTGCTTGGAAGGGGGAGGAGCTTCCTCCTGAGGGCTTCCTCTGCCAAGGGAAGGAGAGGCCAAGTTTGGGGAGGGAGTGAGACACGCAGGAGAGAACTGTCCTGGCAGGTTGTCAGAGCATGGCAGAGGCTGGGCTGGCAGAGTCGTAACTGCCCTCCACATGGCAGAGGCCATACTTCAGAGTGGCTGACAAGGGACTGAAGTTTCTAAGGCTGATACACAGATTCAGGGGGTGGCTGAGGGCAGAGATGGGACAGTCCTGGAATTATGGATGTCAAGAAGCCAAGAAAAGGCAGTATTGGGCAGTGTGGCCTCTGGGGACAGCAGCTAGCATTAGAAAGGGGAGGAAGAACTGACTCAGGATGGAAGGGCATGACTAAAGGTGGGAGTCGGTGGCTGGCACCTCCAGCCAGGTTCTGGCCAGTTGTGTTCTTCCCGGCCCCGGTTTAGAAATTAAGAAAACCCAGGACTCACCAGGGTCGCCTCTTCTTCCGGGCTTGCCACGCCGTCCAGGGGCACCTAGGGGGGAAAACAAAGATGGATCCATTGAGAAGGGAAGCCAGGGGGCTTGGGAATAGCCTGCTAGCTGCTGGCTCCCCACTGCTGGGGCCCACCTGCCCACACCTGTGACAGTATCCTGGGAGCAGCCTGTCATATGTCAAGGCTGAGGCCGAGGCCAGCCTGCTGGTGGCGGAGAAGAAACTGCTTACTTCTGCTGTCCCCTGCCCTGGCTCCTCCAGACACCGGCTCCCTGCTGGGCTGGATTCCTCACTCCTTACTGTAATTCCATCCTCTGTTCACTTATTCATTCACAAGTCCTTCCCCAACCAAAAAGATACACTCCCGGGACACTCCTGAGGCAGGAGAGAGTTTACAGCTGAGAAACTTCAGACTTAGGAGACAAAGAAGGCCGAGGCAGAGAGTTTTCTTAGGAAAGCCCTGACAAATGCTTTCTGGTATCAAAGAAGGAAAAAAAAAAAAAAAGAAGCCAACACAATCAAGACCAATAAAGACACTATGGGATATTTCCAGTGCTTAAATTTGGTGACAAGAGGCACCATCCATCCACGGTCTTTCTACTACCATCCACTGGAACTTTCAGTTCCTTCCTTTCCACTAGCCCAGGGAGATGCTTATACATTTGTTATACTTCATTGCAGACCATGTGCACACCAGCATATGATCCAGTCCTTCATCCAGACTCTCCCCACCCGCAGTACTGGGGATGGCACCTACGCCTCACACACGCTAGGCAAGTGCTCTGCAGGGAGTCCGGCCCCTTCCATCAGTTTTAAGCCTTTTTGAATTTATAATTTCAGACCCTTCTGCCTCTACCTCTAGTCTTCTACCTGAAATTGGTCCCTGAGACCCGAGTGGCCTTGATGCCACTGAATGCTGGCCAGCTCCTTGCCCTGGGTTGGAAGTCCTTGCCTTTGGTTGTAGGGTAGAGGCCTTGAGGCTTCTGTCAGTGTCCCTCATCCTGTCATCTCTGATGCAGCTCACTGCACACTTTCCTGGTGTCCCTTTGTCATATGCTTTGCCTCCCTTCCCACCTCTCTAAGTCTAATTATTCCTGATTCTCTCATTTTCTTAGAGGAAAAGATATGCAGAAGTGAAACTGCATGTAATTACTACATCGCAACTTGCAGATGACATTTATACCTCTGTCTTGCCTGATCACTATATGCTAGGCTCTGAGCTGGGTACAAAGGCCACAGAGAGGCAAAAGTCAGCCTCAAAATCTGTCAAGACTTCACAGAATAACCATGGAGCAGATCCAGGAGATTGGCTATGAATCGTCTGAGGTTGGTGGTCCATGGAAAAATGAATGTATGTGTGTTTCCCTTTTTCCTTCTGCCCATTTTTGAGTGGGAGGTCGAGCCCTTAGTATACCCTTGGCTCAAGGGTTAGCAGAGCAAAAAAGTAGACGCAGTCCTGGATCAGAGGTGCTTCCTGACTTTGGTTAAGAGGGTGCCCTGATGGGGAGGAGGGAGGCTTCAGAGGGACAGTGAGGGAAGAGGGCCCCTCAGTGCTTTGCTAGACCTTGAAACATACTCAGGCCCATGGGGTGAGTGACAGTGAATTTCCTGCCAGGCTCATAGCCTGAGGGTTTGAGGTCAGAATAGTTGAACAAAACTTAAATGTTTAAAATGTGCTGTCTCACAACTCTGAGAATCGAGGGGAGAAACTCATACCAGTGATTTTCCCTCATCCTGGGCACAGACCTTGAACTTGGAGTTTGGAGCAAGATTCCACCTGAGAGTCACCCTGTCTCATCCTCTTTCCTTCACTCCCAGGGACCATGTTGCTTTGGGGGGGGGCAAGATTCCTATAAAATTCACTTGTCACACCTGCATGGGTTTTATAGCTTATGATGTGCCTCCAGGCCCACAATCTAGGCTAAGGCTTGGGATACCTGTGCTACTGCACTGTTAACTATGTCTCTGACACCTCCACCTGGGTGTCTCACCAACAACTCAGGACTCTGGTGGCCAAAATACCCCCCCCCCTTTTTTTTTAAATCCTGGTTGGGGATGAGGGGGCCTAGAAATCTCATCAACTAGTCATATAGAATAAGTAAGCCCCTGTGTGTGAGGGGTTGGTTGGCATGCTCGAATGATTTTTCTCCTCTGTGGATATATTTATTTTCAGGGTGAGGGGGGCTGTGGGAACAGGAGCCCCACCAGCACACTCGGCATCATGTTCTTCTGCTTGTAGCAGAGACAAGACCCAGTTTTCACCCCTGAAGTTTCAGGGCTCTTGCCAGGCTGTGGAAGGCCCAAGCTTGGCTCAGGCAGGCCACTTGCCTTGGGCCTTACTTGTGGGACATGTCAGGAAAGGGGCCATGAATGGGAGAATAAGATGGGCTTCCTTTGACCTGAAGTGAAACCAGCACTGTGGTTTTCTGATGGTCATCACTGGTACAACTGTAAAATTCTCCGTCTGGGTAACTTGAGCCTGATTTGACTGCATTGAAGTGGCTGAACAAATGGATTTGTCTGGGTGGTTCTCCTGGGTGGCATGGTTAGGCAGCAGGCCCACTGGAAAGGGTTGCTAGCAGGGCAGGTGGTTGCCCTGGCAGGGTGGAGTGCTCCACCTCCCAGAGCCAGTGGGCCCAGCTCCCAGCAGGCTGGAGCTGCGTGGGAGCTAGGATGTCACTGAGCGGGCAGGGCCTGTGGGGCTGGGGGCCCTGCATGCTGATGCGATTTCTAACTGAAAGAGTCCAAGTAGAGAACAAGAATGAAGTGGCTCATGAACATTCTCTGATAGGTAATGTAATCCAAGTCCTGAAGGCTTTTGTGTGACTGACTCATGAATGGACAACTGGTCTACCCTTTATTGTGAGATTCACACTCAAACCTTCCACTCCACTAGGAGGCAACATGTCCAGACTCCAAGTTCATCTCCTAATTACTTGCCTTCCCTAAGTGCAGGCATCACCAGTACCCCAGTCGCTGGGCCAGATCCCACCTGAGAGTCACCCTGCTGCATCCTCCTTCCTCCATGCCCAACCTAGACTGCTTCCTTATTGGATCAGGCAAACTCCCCCGCACCCAGGCTTGTCTCCCATTTGTCCTTCTGCTCCTCTTCTGTTGGGAGGATTCCTTCTCCAACCCAGGGATGGGACCGGGTGATGGTGGTGGAAGGAAGGAGAGAGGGAGGGGGCCTGGGTGGGTAAGGAGGCCTCAGGTCTCTCCTCATCATTTCCTGGCATTCTGTTTAAAAGACAAGATCAGGGCTGAGAGGAGACACAGGATCACTTGGTTTGATGGGCACAGGTATTTGAGATGAGGAGTGCTTTCTGCCTTTCTTTCTCACTGGCTTCAGGAAGATAGGTGGTGAGGCCTTGCCAGAGCTGGTGAGAACATGCCAGAGGTGGGTTCCCTGCTCACGACGGGGCTCTTACTCTGCTGCTTCTGCAAATAGCAAGGCAGACACACACGAGGACTGCATGGTGTAAGCTGCAGGGGTGGAAGGCCCCAAGTAGAGCCCTTTATGAGTTTCTAGGCCACCATGGGGAGTGCACTTGGTTCAGCATCTCTTAGTTTGGATCTGGAATGTTCCCCCAAGGTCTCTTGTGTTCAGAGGGAGGACTCGTGGGAAGTGTTTAGATCAGAGAACTCTGACCTCATTAGTGGATTAATCCACTGACGGCTAAATGGACTACTGGGAGGTGGGACCTATTTGGAGAAAGTAGGTCACTGAGAGCGTGCCCTGCAAGTATTCATCTTCTCTCCAGTTCCCTCCTTTGTCTCTCTGTCTGCTTCCCGACGGTCACGAGGTGAGACGCTTTCCTCCACCACACCCTTCTGCCATGGTGTTCTGCTTCATCTGAGGCCCAGGATAAGGGGGCCAGCTGACCACAAGCGGAATCCTCTGAAACCGTGAGCCAAAATAAATCTTTCCTTCTCTAAGATTTTCTCATCAGGTATTTTGGTCACAGTGATGAAAAGCTGACTAACAGCATCTACAGGTGCCAGGCCACCTATTCATCCATGAGCAAGAACTTGGAGCCCTTTTGCTATACCCCCAAATAGTCCTTTGAGGAAGACACTAGTGTCCCCTCCATAGATGAGCATTCTGAAGCTAAGCCAGATGAAAAGACATGTTTCTGGTGCTTTCTGGGGCTTTTCACAGTCAGTTTGCGGTTCCAAAGGTTTCAAGGATAGTTGTGCCCCATACACCTCCTGGAGAGAGGGGAGCCCACTTGTCTGCAGTTCAATTATCCGAGTGAGCAAAACCAGAACACTGCTCAGAGTTTTCCCCTTGTTGGTCTGTCTCTCCCATTTCTGCAAGAAGGAGAACTCTCCTGCAGTTGCCGCAGCCTCAGACACTCCTGAGGGCCACTGTCTGTCTTGATTTACCTGTTCACATGTACATGGGGAAACCATGTCTGGAAGAACAAAACAGATGTTGTCTGAGGCTGTTGCTGGAAAAACGGTTCCAGCTGCAAATCTACAGATGATGAAGCCTGGCTTGGGCTGGGAGAATGTCATTGTCCCCACCTCTGCATGAGAACCATGGGATTCTGGGTCCAGGGTTGGCAACTGTAGGGACATTGGTGTTTACAGCCGGTGTCACAAGAGTGACATGGGCAAAGGCCCCCATTTTCTTTTATTGTCTTTTGGTACTAGGGGTTGACCCCAGGAGTGCTTTACCACTGAGTTACATCCCCAACTTGGTTTGATTTTTATTTCGAGAAAGGTTCTAGCTAATCTCACTAAGCTTTTAAGGCTGGTCTCAAACTTGCTATCCCCCTGCCTCAGTTGCTGGAATTACAGGAAGGTGTACTGGGCCTGGCAAAGCCTCATTTTTGAAGCTGTGGGCAGCAGACATCAAGGTTGGGGGTTGTGCAGGAGGGGAGCAGGAGGGGAAAAGACCTTGTGACATGGAAGCTGTTCAAGTCTGAACAAGCCACTCAACCACTCTGAGCCTTAGGTTCCCAGAACATGAGGATAAGGATTTAGTGATGGTGGCAACTACATACACCTTGTAGAATAAGTAAACAGATGAGCTGG